ACGGATTGGCGGACCATTGACAAGGGTCTGGAGTCATTGCCGCGTGCATTCTACCCCCACGTTCAGGACCGTCTGACTTTTGGACGAAAGGTAACCGGCCTGAAGCACGATGAGAGCACCGGAAAGATCGCTGTCCAATGGCGCCAAGATCCTTTCGCCATGGAGCCGGAGAGTGAAGAATACGACTACGCAGTCGTCGCGGTGCCCTTCTCCAAGGTCAGGCTCTGGGATCTCCCCCAGTACTCCTCGCTTCTGTCGCGCGCCATCAGCGAGATGAACTACCAACAGTCCTGCAAGGTCTCTCTGCACTACAAGACTCGTTTCTGGGAACACCTCCCAGAGCCCATCATCGGTGGCTGCGGCTCAGTCGATATTGCAGGTATCGGCAGCGTTTGCTACCCCGCGTACAAGGTCAACTCAACTGGGCCCGGTGTCATCCTCGGATCGTACATCTCTGGTACCCTAGCGCGGTCGGTGGGTGCGCTCAGCGAAGAAGACCACGTAGCACTGGTCCAGCGGGCGATGGTGGAGATTCATGGCGATGTGGCTTCCGAGCAGTGGACTGGTGCATACGAGCGCCAGTGCTGGGAGACAGACGAGCACCAAGCCGGTGCTTGGGCCTCCCCATTCGTTGGCCAGCAGGATCTATTCCTGCCCGCCTACTACAAGACCGAAGCCCAAACCATCTTCATCGGTGAGCACACCAGCTACACACACGCTTGGATCTTCTCAGCACTTGACTCCGCCGTGCGCGGAACTTCGCAATTGCTGCTGGACATGGGTCTGGTCGACGAGGCGAAGCAGATCGTGGATACCTGGATGGGAAGGTGGATCTCCATCTAGATGGATCAATAGAAGAAAGTAAAAGCTAGTTAAACAGCATAACAATGAATAATGTCTGATCAATGCGACAATGCACTGCAATGGTGGTGAAGTGAGGTCGTGAGAATTATTGAAAGACGCGTGGTGCAGGCGCGATGGGGTGCGACTCCCCTGCGATGGCGTCATCGCCCCTGAAAGTTTAAGACCGAGGCTTTCACATGCACGTCTCCAGCCATCCATTTACATCCTCGCAGAGCGCTCTTCGGCCCCCCATCAATGAGGTGACATCAATCGCGCGTGGAGCCGTCCTACGTCGGCGGAGAATGCGATCGTCGAGCCAAATACCACGTCGTTCGTGTCGGCTGCCCATAGTGCCGATCATGGGAGTATCCTTGGCGATGACAGTTCACGTGATCACGCGTTCAATCACCCAAACACGATTACCAGCTGCACTTGAGTAACCCGGAAACGACGGTCGATGTCGCAATACTCACGACTTCGAGCCGGTATCGCTCAATGTGTTGCACCTCCAGACTGAGCGATCGCAACGACATTCCCATCTTACCCATACAAGATGGATCCCAAACAGATGCGCTGCCGTCTACATCAGCATAAAAGAAAAGGAGTAGCCAAAACCCATGGTGATGTAGCCTTCTAAGAGGGCTACACGTCTCTTGTTGTATAGCGTGATGCTACCACGAAACCCGATCGATGAGCCAACTCGTCATTTCCGAAGTTGCGCCGCACCCCAGTAGGAGTCTGAATATGTAAATGTTACGGTGTTCACCTTGTGCGCAACTCGAGTTGCTCAAACAACAACATTTCTGGACCATGGCAACATCTCGTTCGGAAAAGCCGGTGCAGTCGGCTGGATCGCTCAAGCGAGTTCATGATATGCTTGATAAGTAAGGCAAACCTTGTGTGAGATACCGCTCTCCTTGCTGATGATTTCAAGAGACTGGGCCAAACTAGCGCCCTCTACGAAGAGGATCAAGACCTTAGTCCACAACAAAGAGCGAGCACCTCTTATTGTCAAAGCACTATCGCGTGGATTGGCTCGCCTTGCCTCCACTCCTTACGCCTACGATATACGCGTCGCCTGGGAAGTCTGGAAGAGCTACGCGGACTCTCTTCGTTCCAAAATTTACCTTGAGGCACTGAAGAGGAAACGCATCTTTTCCAAGTCCAGCTACAACAGAGAAGTACGTCGCTCTGTATGTCACGGACTTCTCGAGAAGATTACAGCGCGAGAGATTCGGGACCAGATATACGGATACCTTGTCGAACCGAGTACCGTTAGGCTCATTGGGATCTTGGATCACGACCACCTTCATTACAACGACTATGGCGGCGAAGGCTGCACATACGTGGGTAAACGCGGAAGAGCCTGTTCGTCTATACAAAACCGCGAACGTTGGACGTTCGATTTGCAATGTTCGCGGTTGGATCTATCAGACATGTGGCTGTGCGAGCGTGTCGGCCACAAGTTCTTGGTTGAACTAGTGGAGCACTGGTACAGAGTCAATACCTTCGCCATCTGGGAACCCGATGACTTATCTCTCGTCGCCGATCTCGCTACCCAAGATCGCTGGCAGCTGGGCATTGTGCCACGCGACCATATCAGGAATGTTCAATTTAATATGTCCATGGCTTTCGTCGCGCGAAATCGCCATGGTGTACCGCCATGGCAATTGCCACTGCTGCGCCACCGATTGGAACAGTTACTGCACTTCAAGCAAGGTACCAGAATCAGCCTCGGGATTATCAGCTCTAAAACAACTAGAAGCAGGTCCCGCAAGAGCGCATTTTCACACGGCATTATGGAGGTGGCCTTGTGGGGACGAGATAAACGCATTCTTTGGGAGCGCGGCGTAGCCGAGAAACAGGAGTTTGTTAAGGATCTTGAGAGCGGACTCTTCGATACATTCAAGAAACTATGTGCAGCTGGGCTTCGGTTGGTATTCAAGGTGGATGATGGTTTGGAGTTCTCCGTCAATAACGAGGAAGAGATCGCCTATGATTTGTGGGTGGAGAAGATCTTGGCTTATCAACCAGCGAGGAGACAGCGCCACTACAACTTCGATTGGAGAATACAAACGGACTAATCTGTACTCAAGAAACTTGATAATCACGCCTGGAGGCCGCAGGTAGGCGGAGGGCCTGTTTTATCGTGAATTCTATTCGTTTTGAAGTCTACATGCTTCATTGTCCCTCGTGTAATTACCCAAATTCACCACGCCTGGAGCGTCTCAGGGACTTTCGATCTTCTCCGCCGCACCCTTGCATCACCATGCCATCTCCAACACAAGGTATTGTTTTGCCCTTCATCCTCTTTCATCATCCTGTAGTCTACAATGCAGACTCAAGAGCCTCGTCAGACGCGTCAGAATCATCACTGGCCGCTCATTCACGGCGGGCGCGTTTCGCAAGTATGGCCTGGGACGGATTTAGCCAGTGTCTGTCCCAACACCATGTGACTTACTTTGTCATTATCCTCGATTTTCTCCTTCCAACACTCTTCCGTCAGCTCCTCGCTTACAACCTTGAACTTCAAGTGGTAGCCCAGCTTCACCGTGACACGGTATTCGGCTGCAATCAAGTTCTGAATGCCTGGAAAGAGAAGTGCGAGATCCTGAGGCGGGACTGCTGCGCTGGGGTCTGCCATTGCCCTGAACACTGTATCTGTCGGTATAGCTTGGAAGCTGAGCAGAACGTTGGCACCAGTCTTGAGCGTGTAAAGCTCAGCCAGATCTTTAGCGAGTTTGTCACAATCGCTTGACGAGATGACAGGGGTGAACAGCTATCAAGCTGTTAGCACAGACAACAAGTTGTCTTGGATGGATTGCCTTAGCTAAAGCGTAGCAAGGAGAATACATACTAGTAAGAAGTTAGCAAAATAACTCAAGAGCTATCCGTGGCGGCTACTTTACCCTCAACACTTCGGATCAGCTTCTGCGTATCGAGACCGAAGCCATGAAAGTCGGTTCTGAGAAATAGATCGACGTGGAGGGCTTGCATGAAGCGAAATGTGGAAAGCCTGTACCATGCGTGCGCTAGCTCCAGCATCGTGTCCTTGAGTATCGCCCTCGCTTCGAGCAAGTGGCCATAGCCATTGCGTTCGAGTGACGTCTGGAAGTGCTTGGAACGACTTGCGCTCGTGTGACCGGGAATGGCGAATGCTGGTGAGGCAGACGCCACTAGGTCATGATGATTGATACTGATCGCCAACTGGTCGCCGCCTATCATATAGCCGTATACCTCATCGCGAAGTTCTCGGGCAAACTCCGTCTGTAGTAGTTCCAGAACGATTCGCTGACGGTAAGCCGTGAAATCCTCTAAGTACTGCTGGAGAACGTTCTCGAGCTGGTCTAGTTTTGCGGTGATTTTGGCCAGCTTTTGCTTGAGATTTTGGAATCGTTGTCGGGTCTTCAACGTAAGATTGCTACGCCTTTGATGAGGCCTGGTGCGATTGAGTTTAGCCCGGTCGGGTACTTCGATGTGTTTGAGGATCTGGATGTGCCTGAGGGTACTGGAATTATTAGCAGCCGCTAGATTCGTAGACTTCGGACGCAACTTACTGGGAAACGTATTCATGGTCGAGAAAGAATCCTACCGCGGGCGGTGTGCGCACCTCCATGGTGGTGGCTGGATAACTAGTGAGCAGAGAATGTGGTTGAAGAAAGGTCGGGGCGGGTAGTTGAGACTGTAGGGACCGAGGGGTGGGTGCTTTTCTCAACGCGGCGTTGCGATCAGTCATCCAAAGTGCATGTGAAGGGAAAGAACACACGGGCCAGAGACTCAACCTACGGAGTGAAATATGTGGATTACGGGTTAGTCACGCCAACCTAGGAAAACACTGAACAGCCTGGAGCCTACGTTAACGTTAGGACCTACTTTGCAAGGTTTGAGCTTAATGTAGCCTGCAGACCTGATTCAACCCAACCAAATCTCTCAGAACTTCAACCCAACCATCTAAGCCCCCCAAAAGCGAAAGTAACATGGCTTACACAGTCGATTTGACTCGTGAAAACGTGTACATGTAAGTCATTTCAAAAGCCTCATACGAGAATCTGAACAGGCGAGCTGCAGCATACATGGGGACGAAAATGAAAGTCGCGATAACCCTGAAGGCAATGTAGACACCTGGGTCATTGATGGAGTGGATGTTCAGTGCTAATATGAGGACCAGTACACTCAGGTATTGCGCACTTATCGACCATGTTCTGGACAAGAACAGTCCACTACTCACGGCGTCCCAAATCGCAAATCTGGATCGTACGCAGTCAGAATACGAAAACTTCGCTGATGCCCATATCGAACATTACGCGCAGCAGGAATGTCGGGCATTGTGTACCGCCATGCAACATAAGCTTCCCCGCGAGCTCCGGGACATGATATACGACCACATCCTGTCCCCTGCTCGAGATGAACCGGTTATCATCAACAACGAATACTTCGAAATCGTCGACGAGCCATACCGGGACATTATTGCGGGTTACGCCGAGGAACGCGGATACGGATACGCGCATATGTGTAGCGAGAAATTTGTCGATTTGGACACTATGAGCGAGTTTGCACGTCGCTGGTATTATCATACCAAATTGTGGCTGTTCCTCACACCTACGGAGGTCGCTGAGTTCTTCGGGACTGATATCTGGGGTCTCGGTCTGGAAGGCGATCGTCTGCTGCGCCATGTCGAGGTCGAGTTGTGCGAACAATTCGACGAAGACGACGCCACTCCACTCCGACAATGCCTATTCAAGCTCGCGCCTGGCGCATCGATCGTCTTCCACCTGCGAGTAGATTACATTTATGGCCCAGGTGAGTACACGTATGACGAGGAATTCACCATGTGCCTCCTCTCCGAACGCGTGAGCGCGCTATTTCCTCTGATGCTGCAGCTGATCGAGGCTGGCTATGAATTGTATGGGGCGCTGGATGGGTATGAAGACTTTCGCGTCACGCCTGCCACTCTGGACCGAGAAATCTGGAAAGACACGCTGATGGCGCATTGCGAAGGCCGTGATTGTGGGTAGATCTTGCCGGTATTGAAGAGCTTTACTGACCACGAACAGGGGCGTGATCGACACGTGGCTGCAGGTGGACATGATGCGACTGGGAGTAGACATCCTCACAGCTTACTGCAAGTGACTGGGTAAGCGCGATTAAACGGGCGTATGATATATGTAGCGTGTAATCAACTACTTGTACTCACAATCTCGACGGTGTACGCGTATGTATGCACCTTCCTCACCCAAGTGCCGCCATTTGAAAAAGGCAGTCGCGATGACTACCTCCTCGCTCTTGCATCGCGGCATCCATTTGCGCATGCCTTATGTTCCAGGTTCAGCGTGGAAGGTGGAGGTAAAGTCGTCGCGTTGTCGCACGATGGTTGGGTGGTTGTGGTGTCGGCGTCTAGGGCGCGAGGGGTCGCGAATATCTCCGAACATAGGTCCTGTTGACTCAGAAGGTATATTGGGAAGCTGCTCCCCAACATCTGCAACCACACACTCTGAATTATCAATCCAAGCACGAGATGGACTCAAAAATCTTCCAATGGGAGCGCACTCTCGCTTCGGGCACCTACCTCATATCTTCCGACCGGTCGCTCCTTCCGTACACCTTCGTCCAGGAAGCCTACGCGACGGACGCAATGTTTTGGGCGAAACCGCTCTCTTTCACGGACCTGTCGACCATGCTTGACAACAGTCTCACTCTCGGTGTGTACTGTGTCTCGGACGGCGTCAAGAAGCCTATTGGCATGGCGCGCTTCATTACCGACTACACGACGCTCGCCTACCTCACGGACGTCTACCTCGTCCCCGAACACCAGGGCCAGGGACTCGGCAAATGGCTCATCGCCTGCTGTCGCGAGATCTGCGCCGGAATGGAAAACCTCCGATGGATGGTCCTCTTGACCGGCGGCGAGCAAGCGCAAGCGCTCTACAGGAAGGAATTGGGCATGACAAAGCTTGACGGGGTGGAGGAGGGGCTGGTTTGTATGGGGGCTCGGCGGGCAAAACTCACCGAAGCAGCGGGCGCTCCGCCCTCAGCATAGCGGGACCTAGCGGTTTGCCGTCTACGCACGTATGCAGTTCCCTACCTTAAACATGGACGACTATTCCTCGCGATCAGACGCTACAGTGACAGAAACGTGGTTTGATGGTTGGTCTCGACTGATGACAACGGCTATCTTTGCTTCCGGACTAGTCGCGGGCCCATGCTGCATGCATGTCATCTCTAGCGTAGATATCGCCATCCATTTTTCTTTATCACCATAGACTACTGGTCTGGCTCGCGCCCTCGGCCTTCTGGTATGTTCCGAGTAAGCGGACGAGGCCTGAAGCCTGTTTCGAGCCGGCATGCGACGAATTGTCATCATGGAGGGGCTATCAGGCCCTCCAGGGCTTGTTGCAACTCCGTCTGGTGGTTGTGTCGCGTCGCGCTGCTACATCGATAAGTGTATTACGCCTACTAAACTGGGATCCGCCTCCGATGCTGCCCGAGGAAGACTAATCTAGATCGCGCATGTGTAGACCTGTCGCATAGATCGCCAGGGCCTTGTTGATATACAGCTGCAGTTGACCCTGCGTTCACGTCACGTCCGCCGATCTTCCACATTCCACACCAACATGACCGCGACATTTGAGACCTCTCCACTATCACGCACATCGTCCCCGCCAGCAACACTGAAGAGAAAACGCGCGGGTTCTGATACCCAACCTCTTACCCCGCCGTTAGCGGCAAGCGACTCTGAAGGATCGCGTCTGCTCTCGCGCGCCGTCCACGTTCTTTCGACTGCTGCCACTGCGCTCTCGCAGGTCACTTTTCTCTATGAGTCCGATCATGTGGCGCGCGATGGTCTTCTCCAGGCTGTCGAAGTCATCACGAAGACCAGCCAGACTGGCGGTAAACTCATAATATGCGGAGTGGGCAAGAGCGGACTGGTGGGGCGCAAGATGGTCGCGACGATGAAGAGTCTGGGCATAGCGAGTTCCTTCATGCACGCTGCTGAGGCACTGCACGGGGATCTCGGTGACATCAGGAAGGTGAGTTTTATCCCAAACCCCAAACGATGAGGACCATACTGACTAGAAGTAGAACGACGCAATCATGTTCATATCCTACTCCGGCAAGACAGCAGAACTCATGGCTCTCCTCGAGCACATACCCACGCACACACCCATCCTCGCCATCACATCGCATACGAAACCCTCAGACTGCCCGCTCCTCGACGACCGGCCCAACTCCATATTGCTGCCTGCGCCCATACATGAGTTGGAGGAGGTCTCATTTGGCGTCTGCGCGCCGACGACTAGCACCACTGTCACTATTGCTGTGGGCGATATGCTGGCGTTGACGGTCGCGGAGGCGCTACATCAAGATGAGACGAAAGCGGTGTTCAGAACGAACCACCCTGGCGGTGCGATCGGTGCGAAGTCGAGACGGATAGAGAAGGAGGATGATACCCAGGTGGAAGCGAAGGAGTGCGATGGGCTGGTCACGCCGCCGGCTACCTGATTGTGCTCAGGAGGAGATAATGCACACGAGGAGACCATGCTCAGGAAGATACCATGTGTGAGGCATCTGGAGACGTGTAGATCGTGTAGATCATGTACATGCGCAAGGAACGGCCGTAACGAACCAGAGGGGTTTTTCCTCATGTTCTTCACCCACAACAGCACAGTGATGTTGCGACCCCACGCGAGCTAGTGGGAGGTACCTTCCCGTTCCATCTGCAGCCTGCACTCACTTTAACCCCTCCACTCACTTTTCGTATGCGTCACCATACAGGTTTCCTATACACAGCCTCCATTATCGTGCATAGATTGGACGGCAGCGCTGATCGACGCGCTCACATTGGATGTCTGCATGGTTGCGGCACAGTTTCGCCATGGGTGGTACAATGAGGGGTTGTCTTGCGCACCTTCCGTCTCCCATCTCAATTTTCACACCCGCTGTGTATCCTCAGCTCACCAAAGCTGTAGCCTTCTATTACGGGATTGGACACTGGTTTGTTCCCTGATATGCCGTTCTAGCTCGCATGTTGCCCTAACACATGGCATTCTGGATCTCGCACATCACCCACCATGGAGGCACTAACAGCGATTGGCTTGATTGCCAATATCGTCCAGTTTGTCGACCTTGGCGCAAAGCTTGTCGGCTCTGCGAAGGAAATGCGCGACTCTGCCAGCGGCATGACGTTGGAGAACAAGAGCCTAGAGGATGTCACCATTGAGATGCGCGATCTAAGTTCGAGTCTGGACCCTCCCACCACTGACGCGGAAAGCTACGATGAGCGAGTCCTCCGTCAGCTAGCTCGGGAGTGCCGTGAGCTGTCGGACCAGATCCTCCGCCTTCTGAAGAAGATTGCTCCAACTAGGCCAGGCTCGAGGCGTCAAATCGCAGGCTCATTGATAAAGAATCAGAAGTACAGAAAAGAGAAGAAAGAACTCGGAGAGAAGCTAGCCGACTGCCGTAGGCGGCTGCATCTGCAATTCGACAAGTTCACCAGGTTAGTCAATGTCACAATGTCGCTCTTGGGCCCTTTCTCTGATACGGGGATAGTTCGGAAGTACGTGCGCAGCTCCAGGCCCTCGGAAATCGTGCGCAATCAAATCAAGCAATCTTGCAAACGTTACCGCAACAGATCGAGCGTGTTCGCCGAGGCACATGTGTTGCTTCCTTGGGTGTTGAAGCCCTAGATCAGTTGAAAGACCTACTTGGATTGACTGAAGTAGCTCAAGAATCGGTCGTAGCTCGAAGTTTCCTCAATGATCTTGCGTTTGAAGGAATGGAGGCCAGAGCTGATGTCATCGCGAAAGAGCACAGCGAAACCTTTCGATGGATTGTGGAGCAAGATGCAGACGTCGACGACGTTACATTGAAGACTAACGCTCGCGAACTATACCTTTCATGGCTACATCATGCTTGTGGAATCTTCCATATCGCGGGAAAGCTGGGGTCGGGCAAATCCACACTCATGAAATTCCTGTACAAGCATCCGGAAACACGTAAACAGCTGTTGGCGTGGGCAGGTACGTTGTTCTTCCCTGACGTGTAACGTGTCCATTGACAACCACAGATAACAAAACGCTGGTGATGGCAAGCCACTTCTTCTGGAAACCCGCGAAGCTGAATTTACAAAAGTCACTCACCGGATTGGAGAGATCGTCACTTTATCAACTGCTGTCATCCCACCCGGAGTTGACGAAGAAGGCATTCCCAGAGATTTGGGAACATCGGATGAGCATCAAAGACGATCGGATGGAGCTACCACATAGCCTCTCCCCGGATGAAATTCGCGATGGCTTCATGGCCCTCCTACGGGATGAAACCGTTCAGCAATCATATCGATTCTGTTTCTTCATCGACGCTTTGGATGAGTACGAGGACATACCCCAATACGATCAGAAATACATGGTCGACACACTCCGCAAATGGACACAGATCTCTCCAAACTCCATCAAGCTATGTGTATCCAGCCGGGAAGAGAATGTGTTTGAGAACGCTTTTGCTGGAGATCCAAGGATACGATTACAGGATCTCACCAGGCACGATATGGAGTGTTTCGTACGTTCTAGGCTTGAATCTGTGCAAGACCACAACACCCGAGAGCGTCTTAAAAGTGAGATTGTCAAGAAATCAGATGGCATCTTCTTCTGGGTTGTACTCGTCACCAAACAGCTCCGACAAGCGTTGGAAGACGGTGACGATGCCTCTGTTTTTGAGAGGGAGTTGGCCACACTGCCTACTGAGTTGAAGAAGCTGTTCAATCATCTTCTCGACTCTATCTCCCCATTGCGTAGGGAAAGAGCGCATCAAATCTTTGCTATGGTGCTAAAACACGAGACTTTGCCGATCAAACTATCGCTACTGTCTTGTCTACACCTTGATGCAAATGAAATGAACGCACTGTCATCGGTGGAGGAGCCTTCTATATTGCCTGTCATGGACTACCAAGACGGACAAGACCCACAAAAATGGTACGAAGAGCATGAAAAAAAAGCTCGGAGACAACTACATGGGTATTGTAGGGGACTGGTCGAGGATCGAGACCACCCTGAAGTCTGCAAGCAAGAAGGGGGGTCCGAGGACCCCAGACCTGAACCCGACCCTTCTAAACCCGCTGGATCGAGATGCATTCTGTTCGTACATCGCACTGTTATCGAATTTCTTGAAGAATCATCAATCCTGAAGCATGAATTGGGCGAGTTCGATGCGATTGAAGCAATCTCACAGTCGCATTTGGCAGAATTCCAACGCATACCTTCTTCTCTTATCAACCCGCTGTACTGGACATACCTATACGGTAAAATCATCGAGCTACGGTTTCACTCTGGAAAAGATAGGTCGCAGGGCGACTTCCTTGTACAGCTGGAGCATTTGATCTCACGAAAGTTTCCGGGTTGGCTGGAGAAAGAGCTACCTCCCTCCGAGGAATGCGTTGACGATGCTGCAGACGATTACTGTGCTTTGAGTATTAAAGGAACAGACAGTAAAAACACGTGGGATAGACGTACACGTAAATTCCGACCCAAAGCTCCGGCTTCTATCTTGGCCTGGCTTGGTAATACTTCATATATTCTTTGGCGGGTTTCAAGACTTGACGAACCACCGCTATCTGATCAGACCCGTGGCATCATCCTACACTGTTTGATGAGTTGGTTGGACACGACCGAGAAAGCTGAAGAGCTTGAGAGAATCGTGGCCTGCTTTGGAAAACTCTTGGATGAACGCCCATCTCCTGTTACACGCTTCTTGTGGGTCAATTTTGTCAAACTTTGTTCTATATCCCTACGCCACAATGATCCCATGTGGTCTCGTACTATAGGTCAACTCATCGTCCTATTTTTGCAGAAGTACGAGAGGAACGTTGTCCACAGAACGAAAATTGAATATGGTGGACAGGGGGAGTTCGGAGGATGGGAATGTACAGTTATGAAGGTAAAGGTACCGGGCAAGGTGTCAGCGGATATGATTTTCAGGGGTTTTACACCTGGAACTACTTGCCATACTATTAGCAAGGAACTCGGCCACAACGCCTCAATGGAGCAGCTGGTGAAGTTGTGGCATCTCGAGAACGAGCGAGAAATTCTTGGATTGCTAGAACAGGAGCGCAGGGCCATGGAAAGCAAGGAACAAGCCGCGGACCTTGTCGTCACGGCCAAGGAAACCTCCGAGAAAAGCTCGTCCGATAGCACTCCAGCTTTCGACACAGCGTCTAGGTCGCTTCAGAGGGTCGACAGTGCAGCCGAGATTCGAAGCGAAAGCGGCGTAACAGCGTCTTGTCCGCCCGTCGAAACCAAAGAAGACGTCGATACACCCCAATCCAAGGCCGCCAAAACCCGCTCTATTCATGCATTGGGTATCGCGACAGGCATTTCTCTTCTAGGTGAGAAGATTTCCATTAAGAAACCGATGGGCTTTCGCTGACATGAACTCTAGTGTTGCTGTTAGCTTTCCTCATCGCTCACCAAGACTATTGGGTTCGATAGTCTTCCATCATGGTCTATGAGCCCGTCCGCATCGTCGCATAAGCGTACCATCACGTCGACCTAGGAAAAGACCGAATACCGTAGGGCCTACATCGACGTTGGATCACTAACTTCGCATGTTTTTATCTCAATGTAGTCCGCAGACCTCTTCAATTATTTCCTTGTTTGAGATTCCATGCATTCGGGATAGCACTGGTGAACGGCTTTGTGCTAAAGCGCTGATTGTTCAGGCGCTTTGACTCTGATCGAGTCTTTGTTGTCCCCAGCATGATAGTCGATGAGTGAAAGGCGCAAAGGAGTTGAGCGATTGTCTGCCAAAGGTGCACAGTAAACAAAGACTTCAACATACATAGCAAAGTGAGCGAGCATCTTCTTCATCGCAAGAGCTCACTCATTGTATTGCGCACCTCACGTTTTTGCATAGTGATTATCAGTAGCCTCATCCTATAAAAGCCGTGGCAGACGAACAATCGCCAAACGCCGGGTTTTCGCACCAGAAGAACAACGGTTGTCTTCGTGTTACCCCTACAACAGACATGCTAGTGGATAAGCTACTATCAACCAGTGCACAGCCTCCACCCCCATCGAAAACCGGAAAAAGACCATTCGGCGGCGGTGAAATACTCGGAGAGCCTCTCATAAAACGATCTCGGGTGGATGAAAATGACGAAGCAAGGCGTTCCAAAGAGCGCAGACCAAGAGAACTAGACCCAGCGATGCTAACCAAGCACTTCACCATGGCCAACAAGAAAGAGATTGAAGAAGTAAAAGCGCGTATCGCGACCGCAACGCCATCGAATCCAACGGGCATTCCGCCTCGCTCCACGCGCCACGCAGAGCCCGTGCCACTATCAATGACAACCGGGAAACCGATAGTATCGAAGTCATTGCGCGACGCACCCCCACTTCCAAGAGACACGCCGTCGAAAGAACGCCGAGATGCCATGGCACCACCCAGAGAAAATACATCGAAGCCCCGTCAAGAACCTTCCGCTTACCACCAAAAAAGAATGGCTGAAGCACATCGAGACACACCAACACCAACACCAGGCACAAAAGCCAACCCCATATCCTTCAGTTCAGGCCTGCACGCACTAGACCGCGAGTTCCGCTCAGGATCCGGATATTACTCTGAGCAGCAAGACGACGATGAACTATCTCTTATCTCATCCATATCCTTGAGTGAAGGGCCGAGGGGACCTAATGCACGTCGGGGGCTCAGACGGGATGGTAATGGTTCGGGGAAAGGCTATGACCGCTATGGGAAAGACTGTGACCATTACCAGCCGGCCCGCCGTACCACGCGGTCTGAAGAGAGGAGGAGGCGGGGGGCGTTGGATAGTGGGGAATTGGAGAGGATGGCGAGGAGACACCGGACGATGGGGATGGGGGGGAGTTGTGATGTTTCTCCGAGATCGGGGGATGGGAGTCGCAGTTGTAGTCGCAGTCGGAGTCGTAGTAGGAGTAGGAGTCGGTCGAGGTCGTTGGTGAAGAGGGATGATAGATACAGAGGAGAAGGACATGGTGTAGAAAAGCCACGGGGACGCTCTGCAAGGCTCGATCGCTCTTTATCGCGACGGCCCCCACCGGTATCGCAACGGCCGCGTGAACAAAGTCCACCACCTTCTAGCCAGGTTAGGAGGGAGGAAGAGGGGAGGAGTAGAGGGGTGAGAAAGAGTCGAGAGCGGAGCCGTGGCGCAGACCGGCAGCGTAGTCGAGGGCGGGAAAGAAGTCCAGAGCGGAAACGAAGTAGACGGCGGAGTCGCGGCTCTTCACATGGCCGTGGTAAAGATCGGCGGCGTAGTCGAGATCGTCGAGACCGTCGCCCCAGTCCACACCCTCACCACAAAAAACGCCGCAGCCGCAACCGCAGTCCCAAACCCTCTAAACCATCCAAACGACCCCGTTCAGATCCCCCACACCCACCACCTTCCCCTCCCTCCCCCTCCGACTCCTTCTTCGGCGCGGATGAAATCCCCGAACCCCACGAGAGTCTCGGTGTGGGCGAAGGCGAATACACACAAGAGCAGGAAATGGCGTTGTTTGACCTGGCGGTTACTGTGTATGTGCAGAGAGAGAGGGTGGCGGAGTTGATGTTGAATCGGACGAGGCTGCAGTTTGATTTGGATAATAGGAAGACGAGGGAGGAGGAGGGTGGGGATGGTGATGGAGATGGTGATGGGGGTGAGGGGGAAGGGGATGAAGGGAAGGATGGGGATGGGGACGGGAATGGTGGTGATGACGAGGAAAGGGAGAAGCGTGGAGGGGATGGAGCGGAGAAGGGTAGTAAGGAGAGGAGTAGTAGAGAGAGGGGTAGTAAGGAGAAGGATGGTGGAGGGAGCAAGGAACGTTCATAACATTAACTCCTTATGCGCTTGCGGCGTTGGCTAGGTACATGTGTGTTAATGGCTTTGTATCGCTAGACGAGACGGAATCGAGCCTTGGTCGGGTATAATCGTTGACAAGACGTGTATCATTCCTCTAAATACCTTCATTACCATTGCACCTCATCTCTTATTCGCCCAAGGCGCCTTCGTGCCCTCTTGTACACTTGGCCCATTTCCAGTATTCCCTTTTGCCCAGGGTGCTGCAGTACCACTTCCTGGCGGCGGCGGTGCAGGTGTCCTACTTGCCCATGGCGCTTTGGTAGGTTGGTTCGGGCGACTGGGTACACCTGCATCTGCACCTCTGGCAGTAGTCCAGGGCGCAGCAGTCGCAGCTGGCATGCCACCACTCGGCCTTGTAGTACCAGCACTAGCCCATGGCGCCGCGGTCCCAACCGTACCGCCAGGCATGCTTCTAATTGGCATGCCAGTCGCTGGCTCAGCCATCGGGTCTCTCAATGCAGGCTGCGGTCTTGCAGTTGGTGCCGTGTTAGATGGTGCACTTGACTTTGGCTGACTGGCTGTGTGGACGCTTGCTTGAATGGCCTTGGCGTTTGGGTCAGCAGAGAAGGAGAACAGCGAGCCGAAGGGGAAGTGCTGGACGACAGGAAATTTCGAGAGGACTTCTGCGTTGTACATCTTGATCATTCCCTGATGTGGGGTCAGTCAATGCACGTAATCAAGAGTGTCATGATATTAACCTTGTTGATCTTGGCCCATCCTGCCTTGACACCGGAGACATCGTAGAGAATGTTGCTATGTTCCCAGAATGGACCTTTCTTGACGTCGTAGATGAAGCCGATGGCACTGAAGTACATATTCCGGTTTCGCTCGCGGGCGACTGCTGGTGCTTTTGCTACATCGCCTGGGTGGGGAGCGGATGGCAATGAGCCTTCTGCTGCCACGTCTGCGGGTGTGTTGATGGCTGGTGAGAGTTGTGCGCTACCAAATATGTAAGGTACGAAAGAATGATCGTCCAGTCCCCATACGCCATGCGACCCGGCAGGTTCAAGGGTGTATGTCAAGATGAGTCGGCGAATCAATTCGAGGTACGGTTCGATGACCCCAAGTACAATGCCGCGTTCTTGCTCGCCATCCTGCGACGCGGGAAAAGCTCCGAGTTTCCAGAGACAGCCGAGGAAAGCGAGAAAGCTCAGTTCATGACCTGAACCGTAGTCTAGGCGCTGAGAGCTTCCAAAACTGCCGATAAGGTACGCTTCCAACTCGGTTTTGGCTGAGACGTCGGATGAGGATTTGAAGGACAGCACTTCTTCCGGCAGATACTGATCCAACAGTTCAGGGACTCGTTCTCTGACGATATCATACCACGTCCTGAAGCTTACGTTTCCGAAACGACGCGGTCCGGGATCTGGTGGCGCTTCATCGATTATGGATTGCAGGCTAGAGATAAGCTTGGCGAGGCTTTGCACAGCGGGTGGATGGGGCACATCCGGGTCATGCAACTTCCACTCTTTCGCCGTTTCTGTGCTGTTCTCATCTTCGCTCTTGATCTTCCGTGGTATCATGGCCGTGTTGAGCTGGAAGATGAAAGTCATGATATCGGCATAGGCCCTGCTTGCCAAGAAGAAAGTGACGTCGTCGCCATCGTGGATGCGTTTTGCAGGGACTTGGAAACTATGCGATGCATCTCTGCTCAGTACTTCCAGTACGGGTGCTTTGGATGGATTCGATGACATGGCGGGGTGTCTGATGTGGTGGTTGTTTGGGGGTTAGTGGGCAGGGACGATCTCATGTGATAGCGTGTTTCGGGGATGGACCCACTCTTTCGCGCCTTGACAGTGTTCGATGCTTTTGGCCGCGGGGATGACTTCACTCCTCCCCCACATCGCCGTCATCGCTCGGATACCTTCATTAGCACGGATGCGCTAGTATTATTGACACTCACTTTATGGCGCGGCTTAAGGATGCGCCCAAGCAGGCAGGTACGTCGTGTCGCAGCTGCCGTCGAGCTGGCGGGTAGACGCGCAGCTCTCCAGCATGCCCACCAGCTTTCATCCAAGCTCATATAAGCTGACACTCATACTACAGCTCCAAAGCCTTCCTCGCCCTCCTCAGACGACAATGCTGCAACCCAACAGCTCCTCGCCGAGTCCAACTCTCCAAGCGCGAATCCACCCTCATCGTCCGCAGTCCTCGGCGCCAACCTCCTCAATGCAGCGCGTCCTGGAAAGCTCAAACGAGTCAGCATACTGCCTGAGGGAGCCAGACAGAACTTAGCGATACGAGGTGACCCATACGAGATTGAGTTGAGCCCTGAGAAGGGTCGATACGCGTTGCCGGAAAAGGTCAATCATAAGCCTTTGAAGATCAATAGGAAGAGGAAGGAGAAAAAGAAGCCAGCCAAGAAGAAGGTTCAGGCCACTGTGGAGGCAGTCGAGGAGCGGAGTGACGTCCCTGCGCCCTCGTCAGAGCTCCCAGTGCACCATGACGCTGGGCCACAAGTGGATGAAGAAGAACGAGTGGAGGATCTGGCAGTAGGAGAACCCGAGATACGCTCCTCGCCGCCAGAGCTCGCACCGCCGGAACCCACCCCATCTAAAGCCGCCCCGCCCATACGCGAAACTGGCGTGGTCGATCCCACTGGTACGACAAGCCCAGATGGAGAATCTGCTGTTGCGCAGGAGGACAATAGCATTACACGACGAACGTCGAAACGGAAGTCGGAGTCAGATCACAGCGAGGAACAGCCCTCCAAGATTCTGAGGAAACAAAGGCGGTCGACTGGCGAATCGAGCGCATCGAGAAAGAGTCACCCACAAGTACGCATACCGGTCCGGCGCAGCTCGCAACAGCAGGATGTGGCGACTGCGACCAGACATGACGATGCTCGAGGCACGCGAGAAGGCGCCGAAGTCCATTCATCTCAGGCAAAGGAGTCTCATCCAAATCCCGCAGCACGAAAACTGAAGCCTCAGAAGAACCGTACCAACGGCACTGCTGAGTCTAGCCAGCAGCTACCAGCTAACGGGAGAGGATTGCAAAAGTGCGCAGAGCCGCCCAAGCAAGCTCCGGAAGTTGCTGATGTTCCAGAGACTGAGCACGCGCCTGTTGTTGACGCGTTTGGGGACGATTCAGACGGAGACGACGCTAGTAGCGTCGCTGAGGAAGCCGATAACATAACGCGCCCTGCAGGAAGGCCTGGGAGCATCGACGCCGTCTTTGAGTTCCTCAACCTAGAGGTACGGCCAGGAAAGTGCCGGACCAAGCTGGCTACCACCATCAGACGCGCATGCAAGACATACAGAGCTCATCTTCAGGAAGGTGACCTTTCCATGGACACTGTCGTCGATGAAGCCGACGATTTACGAGGAGCGCTCGGACAGATCAGTATCGATGTCGAAAAGAAGGACCAGCGCGCCTTCAAACGAGATGCTTATCGCCATGTCTTCCGGGCTCTCACAGAGTACCTCGAAGCATTGTATACGTGGCTACAGGACAATAGCGGTGACGTAACCGAGTCTTTGGAAGCTATGAAGATTCTAACACCCCTGATCAACCAGATGCTGTCTTTTAAAGACCGCATCGCTGAGTGGAATGTTTCAGTGCCTCGACGTTCCAAGGGCGATCGAATCATCAAGGATGTTGATATTGGTCTCATTGCTCATCTTCGACAGGTTGCCAAGACGTATCGCGGACATCTTAGTAGACTCAAGGCCAGGGAGGAACATCGCAAGATCCAAGAAGACTTCGAGCGTAGGATGCAAGAAAGAGAAGAGGAGGAGAGCCGCAAAGCCGAACTTGAGGAAGCACGAACGCAGCGGTGGAAACGTTGGCAGGCTCTACACATTGTACGCTTGACATGCGAGCCCGATGCGCGGAGAAGAAGCAAGCTGGCTATCACAAGACTCGAAGACCTGGAGGAGAGAGACGCCAACGGCGTCATCTTCGAGCGATTGCCAGTATTCACACCTCGCTCAGCTCCACTGCATCGTCAAGCATCGGCATTGAGCAACAAGCCAGAGTGGACCGACCAGGAAGAGACTGCTCTGCTTGAGGGTCTGAGACATCTTGCTGGTACGTTGGAAGTCATTGTTAACAGCTTATCGTCATCGCACTGACATGTACTCTAGGTCCTCAAGTCTTCGAGAAGATATTCACAACGTATTGCCGGCCCGACTCATCTCATTCACTTAGCGGCCATTTGCGCGATCGCAGCGTCGCAGAGATTGTCACAAAAGCAGCACAGTTTCGGTCAGACTTCCAGAAGTTATATCAAGATAACGGCTGGGAGGTTGAGGAGTGGATTACGAAGATACCAGTATTGCCGTAAGTGCGGTCTACTTCGATGCTTTGATCCACCTCTGCTCCACACGCGATTCTGACCCTTTTCCGCTTGGCGAGAAGAGGCGTTCTATCAAGTCACGCTTTTCGCCGTTTGTCTCTTATGATACCCCTCGCGTGCTACATTTCTTTGATACCAATGCAAACAACATCATCGGCGCCTATGTCTCCACCAGCCCTCATAGTGGCCGTCCATCTACCACATCCCCCTCTGCTCCATTTTCAACATTACCACATAACATCGCACTCAACAGTATCCGACAAGTACAGTTGCCACTACATATCTAGTGAAAGCACGGGTCTACCCTTTCGCTCGTGGGGTACGTGGCCAGATCACTGGACGTGAATGCCAATTACGCGAATGCTCAACCGCCCACCGGTAGACATAGACCTTGGTACCGGTAATCTGCCTCCACTCGCTATCGCACCCATACACAAAGCGCAATATTCAACCTGGATCAATTTTCACCTTGGAGTTCAGTGCACGCGCCCCTGCACCGCCCACAGTCGCAAAGTCGCTCTCTCACTTTAAATACCTTGCACACCCTTTCTCCCTCCTGACTACTCCAATCCGCTTCTCACTCACTTTCAACCAAACGCCACTAACACCCGAACTTGAACATTCTCCCTAATTCCAAATCAACTCAACAATCCTGACGACACACACGCAATACTTACCACAACATCACCATCCCACAATGTCTCCTCCCCCTGCGGCTTCTCCCCCCTTCTCCCACGCAGCCAGCCTCGCCCACTACGAGACCAAGAACTCGTTCGAGCTCATGGTCATGGCGAAGCTGCGTTGCATCTCTGATGCGGGTGAGAATCAGGAGATTATCGCGCGGCTGATGGCGCAGGATAGGGAGAATGGGACTTGGCCTGGGAAGTACGAGGGGCCTGGGGCGGCTGCGATGAAGACCGATATTGTTGCGGCTGAGAAGAAAGGCGAGGATGGGGAAGAGGTGGTTATGGCGCCGGTCGAGCGAATTTTAGTCAAGGAAGAGAGGACGCCTGAGGCTGGAGTTGGGGGTGAGGGAAGGGCGGATCACGTGCCTGTTGCGATCGTCTCTGGAGACAGACGCGGTCGTGCTGCGACTGCCAACACCGCGGCGACTAGCACGAGGAGCAGAAGCCCCATCATCCCCCTGTCACAATTGGCAAAAGAATGGGATCAAGATTGGGGCGCACCTTTCGCTTTCCCCCTCGCCGCTACCACCGGCTCGAAACCCCAAGCCAAAGCCAAACCCGTGACTCCCACTGAGTCTGTCTCCAGTGGCTCAAAGTCACCCGTCACACCCGCCTCTCCCCGCTCGCAAACCTCTCGTGTATCTCTGGCAACTCCTGCCTCGTCCCCTCCAACCATCCCGGCTTCATTGAAGTCGAATCCGTATAACCTTCTCATGAGCGATGAGCAGGACGATGATGAAGATGAGGACGAAGAAGAAGAAGAAGAAGAAGAAGAAGAGGAGAGCGAGAACGAGGGGCTCATCATCCCCCTGAAAATGTACACGGAGAAGGCCAGGGCTGCCGCCGAGTCTACGGGAGCTGAGATCACGTATGCGGCAACATCCAGTAGTAAGGATGCTGTCGCTGCTCCTACGGAACAGACGGAGAATCTCCCGGCTCCCGATTCGTTGGCCAGTTTCGAGCCGTCTGAGGTTATGTCGGCGCCTGGGGGAGATGTGATGACTGAGGCTCCTGTTGTTGTGAGGGACTTTGGTGCTATGGTTTCGAATTCGCCCTCGTCATCGCGGTCACTCAAAGAAGCAGCCCACAAGTCCGACGTAGCTGCCTTCTACAACATGCCTCCCCTCTCGCCCGTTCAACCAGCCACGTCAACGAAGAACACGCCCGTACAGGTCTTCGTGAGCGCTCCTCCATCGCCGCCGTCATCGCCACCACAGCACACTCACACCGTCCCGTCGTCTTCCGCGCCGACCAAAAAGACTCATCAGCGGCGCAAACCAGACAAGGTCACCGCACCCTCGAATATGTATGACGTTCTGATCACTGACGATCCCGTCGACGCTGACGACACCGCCTCTGCCCTCGTTGACACCGACGACGAACGTGATGGCGATAGCGACGTAAAGACTGCGCCGGTTCCAGGGGCGCAGAAGAAAAAGAACAGGAGGCGCGGAAAGAAAGGTGGAAAGAAGGTGCAGGCGATGAAGCAGAAGGTGGAGCAGGCTGTGGAGGTTCCTGTTGTTGTTGCGCCTGTACTCCAGCAGACGGTAGCGATGTCGGTGAAGGTGGGGAAGAAGATGGAGTTGTCGCAGGCGCTGGGTGTCGCGGCGATTGTCATGGTTTTGGTTGCGCTTTTGGGGGCTCGCGTCCTAGGTTAGAGCTGCACGGCGCGTGCTCAGCGATTTTACCATTTGGATGGAATTTTTGGGGTTTAGCGGCATTGTTTGGAGTACTCGGTACGAAGACACAGTGGTTCACGGGGCGTTCTGGCGTTCTGGTTGTATTAGCACGGTAATTTTAGACACTTCTCGCAACGCTTTGTGTGCGCAACGAAGGTTCCAGTGCGCCAATGGATCAGACTGTTGCCTGGTCCTGATCTGGGTTTATCGTTGACATAGCACTTTGGTATCCAATATGATTGCGATAGCTTGATGTTGTTAGCTGATATGCCTGCCCAGGTGGTGTGTGTTATTGCTGCGATGAGCTTCATGCCACTTTGTTGGCGTTTTATCAAATCCGAGATACTTCGTGCGCCTTCGACTGCTCCGCATATCGCGTTACTAGAACTGCGTCTCGAGGCTTCTATAAATGCGCAAGCGAACAGGTGCGTTCGTCGAGTGCGGCGGGATGAAATCGAACTCCGCGATCACAACTAACTGGGCGGTGTGAGCTTAATCAAGCGCGCGTAGCCAGGAAGTCCTGTCTCGTGTTGCGCGAATAATCAGAAAAGGGTGAGGATTCTAAACGTAAAGTCTTCCGTTCCTGGACTCGCCCTGGAGGAGATGGCTACGGCTGAATGGGATGCACTAGCACCGCACGTCGTGGCCCTTTTGCGGTCATTTGAACTGCCGTGGACACCCTCAAGGCCGTCACCAAGCAGTCATCCCACAGGTTCCGCAAGCCATCGCGAGCTACGCGCGACAACGCCTGCATCACAACCAGCGAAGCCCACGAGCATACCATGTGAAATAACACCCCCACCGTGCAAGCGATCGCGCACCTGCATACACGTAAATCAACCGACCAATAACAAGCTTTCACGCAGCGGGAGGGGTCCGCGCTAGTCCGCAGCCAGAAGCTTGTAGGCAAAGCACCGCCTTCCCACAACCACGACATCATCACAATGCGCGAATTATCCCCCCCTTGGCGCACGCCGGCGAAGCAAGTAAAATGTAGCCCATCCTACTTTCACGTGCGGTTTCGTCGCCGCAATAGGCAAAACCAGGCCCACGATGGCAGTGGCTGAGCAACACCGCTGATCGCGAGATAAATCCCTCATACAATTATTTGCTGGGCCTTTGTACCCAGGCCGTTATTGCGCTGGAGCTCACGTGTTTTCTGGGTGATTCTGCACTCCTCTTCTTCTCCTTCTTATTCCATTCCCAATACACCGGTAACTTTCTGTACTGTACTTTGAACACGAAAGAGTTATTTTCTTCCTCTCGCTTACTTCGCCCTTGCGCTTTCGTTGCTGCACGTAGCGATAATCCCTCAGTGTGTCACTGCGGATTGAGCGCATAGCGACAAAGGCAATATGTGGAAGCCGCCAACCAACTTCATTACGCTGCATTGTAAGTTGCAAACGGTTCCGTCTGATCCGGGTGCGGCATGGCTAATGGGATGTAGATGCATACATTCTCAGTTTCGGGATTCTGGCCCTGATCATCATCTATCCCTATGGCAATCTCTCGGCTATCGATGCGTACTACTTTGGTGTCAGCGCGTCGACTGAATCTGGCTTGAACCCGTATGTTTGGGTTGATGTACTGGGATGGGTGCCGTGCTGACAGTGCGTTAGTGTTGATGTCAAGGCCCTCAAGACATACCAGCAGATCTTTGTTTACATCACGCCTATTGTTACGAATCTGGGATTTATCAATGTACTCGTCGTCGTTGTGCGACTACGCTGGTTCAAGCAGAAGCTCAAGGGCATTGGTATGTTAGATGTCGCTCTAAGCCTACAGCTGAAGCTAACCCCCAATAGCGGCGGCACACAGTAGACCCAAGAGCTTGCAGCTGTCTATGAGCCGGGCTCAAACAATCGACAACACCGCTGACACACGAAAGATCGAGGAGGGTCTCACCGGCGAGACCACAGTCTCGGAAAAGCTGCCTGTTGCCACTGCAGATGAGTCAAACGACCAACCGTCCGCTCCTGCTCCTCGCATCACATTCGCCCCAGATCCTCGACCTCATGTCAACGAAAAAGGCGCGTTGTATGTCCCTGGTCCGCGAGAACGTGATAATGGCGAACGCATCACTTCGATGTCAGATGGTAAGCTCGCCAGTTGGACTTCCGTGAAAACATGCCTAACATTATCGCTATAGACGAAGACGAAGACGAAGATGAAGACCGCATCAAGCCTGTCGCAGAATCGAGCAATCCACTGCGTCGCCTCAGGTCAGAGACAAGAAGTATGAACACGCGCACCATGAGCAAGGCTACCTCCGTAGACCGCGCTGTATCCTCCATCTTCGTTCTTGGAAGTACCGCAAGCGGCGCTCGTCGTAGCGAAGACAAGCCGGCACGCAGGACGCCCACCATCGACCTGAGCTCTATGACCCGGGAAGAGTTGGGTGGTGTTGAGTACCGCGCGCTGCAGGTCTTGCTCAAGGTTACTATTGGTATGTATCGAGAGCAATGTATCTGGCTCGCTCATGCTAATCATCATTCCAGGATACTTCGTCGGCCTACACACACTGGGAGTCGTTTGCCTACTCCCATGGATCCACAACGCACCTGCTAAATATCAAGACTACCTCGCCTCTCAAGGTCAAGACAAGACGTGGTGGTATGCTTCACCTCCTCCCCTACCGCATCGCTATCTCTAACAACTCCCAGGGCGTTCTACTCCGCCCAAACCATGGTCGACAACCTCGGCCTGACCCTCACACCCGACAGCATGGTAACCTTCCGCGACGCCACCTGGCCAATGCTAGTAATGTCCTTCCTCGCCTTCGCCGGCAACACATTCTACCCCGTCTTCCTACGCCTGCTCATCTGGTCCATCTACAAAATCGCACCCGCCGCGTCTTCCCTCAAAGAATCCCTGCGCTTCCTCCTCGACCACCCACGACGATGCTACACCCTCCTTTTCCCCAGCACCGCCACCTGGATCCTCGCTTCCATCCTCTTCGCCCTAAACTTCATCGACACGCTCCTCATCATCGTCCTCGATCTAGACAACCCCGAAGTAAACAGCTTACCCGTCGGACCCCGCATCCTGGCTGCCATCTTCCAATCCGCATCCTCCCGCCACACCGGTACCGCGACTTTCAACCTCGCGGCTGTTAACCCGGCTGTTCAGTTCAGTCTGCTAGTCATGATGTACATCTCCATATACCCCATCGCCATCAGCATACGCATGAGCGAGAGCTACGAGGAGAAATCCGTGGGTCTCTACGCCGGAGATGAGAATCTCGATGAGCAGAAGGGGGGTAAGACGTACCTCATCAGCCACATGCGGAACCAACTCAGTTTCGATTTGTGGTATATCTTCTTGGGGGTTTTCATGATTTGTATTGCGGAGAGTGATAGGATTATGAGTCAGGAGGACTATGTAAGTTGATGAAATCCCCAAAGCGGGTTTCTTGGTTGTTGGGAACGGTGTACTAACGATATGAACAGGCTTTCAACGTCTTCGCCATCTTCTTCGAGGTCGTATCTGCATACGGTAACGTCGGTCTTTCGCTTGGTCACCCGTCGAATCTTACGTCGCTGTCTGGCCACTTCAACACGTTTGGCAAAGTGGTGATTTGCTTCATGATGCTGCGTGGTAGACATCGCGGTTTGCCTTATGCGCTTGATCGGGCGATCAATTTGCCTCATGACCTCATTACGGAGGATGGACAGGAGGACAAGTATAGAGATGAAGATGCCACGACGGCTGGGGGCGTTAGTGGGTCTGCGAGCGAGAGTGAGGGGAGAGGGAGAAAGATGATGAAGAGTTTTACGCAGTAACATTCACATGGACATTTTCATATAGAGGGGATTGAGAGGGCTTGTTGTATAGAATAGACCGCGATGCATTGGACGGACATCTTCACAGGATACGCACGAATTTGAGATGTGAGGTTCACGTTTGACTGATGATACTTTGACTACACATAGCTGACTATCTGATCATAGAACTACAAAGCAACGATACGATGAAGTACAAAGCAGCTTATACAAGCGCAACCCATCTACCGTTTACACAAAACACACGAGATAGAAAGACCAGAGTCTACGAGGATTCCGCATCAATACCCGCTTCCCGCTCATTATCGCCTACCAGTTCATCCAACCAAACCCGCCATTGCTAAAGTTACTCCCCATCTGCGGCCGACGCTGAGTCCCTAGATGAGCTCCATACTCACCATCGCTACCCATACGACGTGGCGCCTCGCGGCCCTCGCTACCACGCACCGCGCTACTACGATACAAACCGCCACCACCGTAACCGCCAGACGTCGAGGGACGCTCGTATCCGCGATCGATGCTAAAGGAAGTCTGTTGGGGTTCGCGGAAGCTAGAGGCGTATGAGGGGGTGGCGTATGAGGAGGAAGAGCGGGACGAGGAAGAGGAAGTGCTGGGCCTGCCCATGCTAGAGAGGAGACGGCGAGTAGTAGATGGTTGTTCGAAACGAGAGGACCCTAGAGGGCTAACTGAGCGATGATCATCATACGCGTGTTTGTTAGTGTACGCGCGGGGACGCTCAGAAGCGCGCATCGGGCTCAAATCCCTATACTGATACCGGCTATCATATGGATCGCGCTGGGATGCAGCGCGGCCGAGTCTAGAACTACCAGTTGTCTCACGACGGGGTTGGCTAGTGTAGTCTCCATAAGGCTGGGAGAAGGGTTCGGTCATTCTACTGGAGCTGGATGCGCCATAGCCGTAGGGATCACGGCTGGAAGACTCGTACGTGTCACGGCGTGAAGAACGGCCGGAGCTAAAAGGGTTGTCGCCGCCGAAGAAAGATCCGAAGGGCATGTTGGGTTACTGAGATGGGGATTTGGTTGGTGTGTTTGTCGGAATAGGTGGATAAAGACTGTATTGGTCTTCGAGGTGTTTAGGTGCGTGTGTGCGTTGATGTGATGCCTTCAACTAGAAGCTATACTGGGGACTCTTTTATACAATCAAGTCCATCGCATTCGTGACGAGACAGTGCGAGTGAGACCATGGTGTTGATGAACGATATCTTGGGTCAGCGTGTGGTGTCGAAGAACATACGGCAGAGTGCTAGATCAATGTATCGTGTGAATGTATGTACCTGCGCCACTGTGAATGAGGAATGTGTGTAGTGAATCAACGGCGGGAATGAAGCAGTACAAGGCTGAAGATGCGGTTAAGCACTAGAAGGAGAGAGAGGTTTTCTCATCGATGGGACAGTCATTCACTGGGTGGTTGCGTCATGGATCAGCTTTTTGTTTCGCGAGGCTACGACGTAGTATTGTACGACATAATACGCGATCCATCTTCGCACGTCGTTCAAACCCGGGTTAATATGAGTCTGCGATGGAACGGGGCTTCCGTCCTCGGTCTCGTCTTCAGTGGCCAGCTCATCATCAGAGTCTGGAATGACGGGTCGGTTCCTCTTTCCCCGGGTACGTTGTCTAGAAGATGTCAGCGGGGATCGAACTTGGCTGTGGGTTTGTGCTTACGATACGGGTTGCGGGGTGGTGTCGTGGTCAAGAGTCGCAGTAGAAGAACTTAAAGAATGGCGCGAGCGGCGCTGCGTCATAAGGCCACAACAAAAAAGGTCCATCGAAGGTGAATGCGGGTCGGTGCGCTCTTGATTCTGATCATAGGCTTGTGAGAACTCGCCAGCGTCCGGGACTGGAGGGTGCGTGACTTTGACGCGCTTGTTGGCCTTCCTCTTCGTCTTCTTCCTAGGTGCCATCGTGTGGCTGTGAGGCTGTGAAGGATTTGGTGAATGTGAAACAGATGTTGCATGACTGAGCTATACTCTGATAACGAGGATATCAATTCGGGAGTATCAAATCAGTGGGTGATTGATAGGACGAATACGAAAGAGGCGGTGAATGTGCAAAGTGTGGCGTAGGTAGTAAGAAGCAGAACCAGAACCAGGCGGCAGAGGAAGACAACCCCAGGGCCAGAGACTAGTGCCGCAACCGCTATGACCAAGCGTTGACGTAGTATCGGACGATTGCAAAGCGTTGAGTCAGACCATTGGCCGCGTTGGGTTAGCAACTGGGCAGGAGGCAGGTGCGAGCGATCAATGTGGCAGCGAGCAGCCTCGCTCACCCCGAGAAGCTGCTCGAACTGGAAGCGACGTCTAGTGTCAGGTATGTGATGCCTCTCCAGCCTCGATTAGCTGTTCATAGATGCCGGTGTTGTGATGGGGGCGTCTTGTCATGAGAAGTCGTACAAGACCGATGATCCCAAATAGTCTCGATGAATGGTAAGAAATGACAGCAAGGCCAAATCACGTATCAGAGAATGTTTTCAAGGTTCGCGGCTTCCCGATGGCATTTTCATAACAGAAAGAGCACGCGTCACCGCTGCCCGCATGCCACAAGCGCGACCACAGTGACGCTTGCCCACCGGGCCATTGAACCAGTACTGTGGGGGAAGACGCGGTTATGTACTGGAAGGAGTGAGAAGCTGTCTCAGCGATGGGAGAGACATTCACTGGACTCGGAAATTGATTTTGTGTTCCGTAGGATTACAACATATTCTTGCAGGATACCAAATAACCTGTATTCCCGACGGCCTCTAGGTGGTGATGACTGCCGCACGAACCCCCTCTACAATTTCAATACCCACACAACATCTACATCTACGCAACATTCTCCATCAACCCCGCCCCCACCGTCCTCCCCCTCTCCCTAAGCACAACCCTCATCCCCTCCTCCACCGGCAACTCCCTCTCCAACTGCACCACCACCCTCGCCACCTCCCCCGGCTTAACAATCCTAGGCTTCTTCTTCACAACCTCACCCGTGAACTTATTCAGCTTAGCACTCAGCGTCCTAATCCCCGCAGGCGAGTTCAATGTACTTCGGAACACCTCCACAGGCATCGGTAGTACGTGTTCGAAAGCGAGGAGCTTGGATGTGAAAGCTTTGACGAGTTTGACGGGGTCGCTACGCGCGCAGACGATGTCGCCTTGGCGGAGGTGGACGGGGTCGATGTCTGTGAGGTGGAGTGTGGGGATTTGACCGCATACGGCCCAGTCGACGGGGGCGTCTTGTACTTCGATTGATTTGATGGTGGCGGTTTCGTTGGCGGGGAGGGCGAGGATGACGTCGCCTACTTGTAGGGTGCCGGCGTCGATGCGGCCTGATATGCTGAGTGGGGAGCGAATGTCGCCGCGGAAGACATCGGCGACGGAGAGGCGGAGGGGCTTCGTGAAGTTTCGGGATGGGAGGTCGATGCGTTCCAGAGCTTCTAGCAGGGTTTCGCCGGTATACCAGTGGGCGGCGGAGTTCTCGATCTTCTTGACGACGTTCTCTCCTGTCAGGCCTGCGAGCGGGATGAAGGTTATACGCTTTTCGAGGAAGCTGGCTTCTGTAAGGAAGGCAGTCATGCGTTTTGAAATGTCGTCGAAGCGTGCTTTTGACCATCCAACAGTGTCCATCTTGTTCACGGCCACGATGATATGTTGCATGCCCATGCTGCGCGCGATCAAGATGTGCTCTTTGGTCTGCCCCTTAAGACCAGACTCAAAGCTGTTCGTACTTGCGTCGATGACCAGGACGGGAAAGTCGGCTTGTGATGCACCTGATATCATGTTGGGGATGAAATCCTTGTGTCCGGGCGCGTCCAGAATGGTGAATTTGGTCTTGTCGGTCTCGAAGTAGTTTGTAGCAATGTCAACGGTGACACCACGACTCCGCTCTTCGCTTGTTTCGTCCATGACCCAAGCAAGCGCGAACGAAGATTTGCCGATGGTTTCTGCTTCTTTCCGCAACTTGTCTATTGACCGCTGGTCGATGACTTTGAGATCGTAGAGCAACCGGCCCATGAGCGTACTCTTGCCGTGATCGACGTGGCCTGGGAAGGTTAACTGAAAATTTCTCATAGCATCGACGATGAAGATTTACTCACCAAGTACTACAAAGTTCGCCAACCGCTTCGAGGCGCTCTTCTCAAACTCATCCACGACGTTCAAGTTCTTGCTCTTCACTCTCGGTTCGTCGGCCACGGTTAGCTTCTCGACCGATTCGGTCAGGTCACCGTTCGTTTGCCTTTTCTTCTTCTTTGGTGTTGTTCCTGTATGGTTTAGAGATGTTCAAAAAGAGGTTGTATCAAAATCTAGTGACGTCCGCCACCTGCGCCCTTTGCCTGTGCTGCCCGCACAATGTCATCCGGACTCGGCCCAGCAAAAGCACCAGTGCCATCATACGATTTGTATGCAGCAAAAGGTAGTGGAACCTCTTGTAGCGGTGCTTGGGGGTGCTTCGATGACTCGTCAGAGCCGCAAAGGGTGGAAGCGAACATGGAGGCGGTGGCGCGTTGAGCTGGCGATTCGACGACTACAGCAGGCTGGGGTGCTTGAGGCTCTTCTATCTCGGGTTCTTTCGGGGCTTCTGGTGCTGGCGATGGCGACCGTCTGCGGATAGGGTATCGAGAAGGCCGAGCTGGGCCGGTACCACCTGGGGAAGAATTGCGACCATCCTGATTCTTCACCGAAAGCTTGTCAAGCATGGCGATTGCTGAATCCGCGTCGTTATTGGCTTTCGAGGCAGCAGCTTCCGCATCTTCTCGTTCCTTTCTTCGCTTCGCCGCAAGAGCAGCCAGCTTCGAGGAGCCTCCCAGCAAACCGCCTTTGTAGTGTGGAGGATCAACGGTGATGACGCCGAGTCGTTCGGGTGGTACGTTGCCCCAGGGCACATCCCAGAAGAAGTCTGTGACAGCGTTGGTAGGCATCGCATCGAGATGAGGGCAACGGTGCGGGATGGGATCAGAGAGGGTGGTTGGAGGAAGAGGGCGAGGAGTATGGCGAGCGGCAAGGGTGACGTGTTTGACTTCGTGTGATGGCAGTCAAATCACGAATCTCTCCACGAGACCTCCACCACCGCCCCTCCGCCTCCCCTCCACCTCCCCCACCCACCCGACGGTGGAGGATGACAGCGAGGCAGCAGACGCGTCTACATAGCTAGAGTGGAGTACAAGTGAAGATTGGAGTGTAGTGAGCGTGCTTACCTGTCGTAACCGGCGCCTTCTCCTCCGCCACACTAGCAGCCTGATCGAACCTCGACACCGGCTTAACCTTCTCCTTCTCCTGCTTCTGCACCTCCGTCTTCACTTCCCCCACCCCCAGCCTATTCTTCAAATAACTAACACTCTTCCCAACATCATAGTAGTAATGCCAAAGCGCCTCTTGTATTTGCTCGTCGCTCGTAAAGTCGCTTTTATCCCCCAGCGCCTCGCGTACTCTTATGGTACCTGCACGCATCTGCTCTTTATCTTCTTCTGTCATGCCATCCCCTGCGTCGGCTCCACCGCCGGCTTCTTCTTCCTCGTAGTAATCGTCATCGTCGTCGTAGATGTCGTCGTCATCGTAGTCGACGTTGCGCGTGCGCGAGAAGCCGCTTTTGGGAGGCATCGCGGCGGTATTGCTGTTGGCTGTGTTGGCAGGTGGTGGGGGAACGTGAGAATTATTGGGCACGCGCGCGTCGTGGATGAGTCGTTTCGCAGGCGTGTAGAAATGTTCGGGAGAGAGTAGCTTTCTAGTGTGAATTATCGCGTCCCTTGGTTGACGTCGGTGGTGGGGCTTTGCCTTGACGTGTAGCGCGGCTGCTATCTGCCCCGCGCTAGTTGGGAGCTTTGGGCAATACAATGACGATGATTCGTTTACTTTTCACTAGACAAGAGGAGCTGGAATAATCATGGAAATTGTTTCGATTCAAGTTCAAGCTCGCCAACAGCTCGACACACCCGTCGAAAGATACAGCAGTGGGGTATAGTATTAGTGGAAAGAGACAATGCTGAAAACCCTGGCCCGACACTCGCCCTTCGCCCGCTGTATTCAAAAAAATTGTTTTTGTGGTTTTCTGACCCTTTTCTGATGCGGCGTTTCCTCAACTGTGCGGTGATGCCCGGTAGCTTCTCTTAAGCCGAGAAGGAAGCTCCCTATTTCTCCGCCTTCTCCTCAGCGGCGGCTGGGACAGCAGTGGTAGCGGTAGGCTCAACCGCAGGCGCAGGCGCAGGAGCAGCAGGAGTAGGATCCGCAACCGCAGGGGTTGGTGCAGGGGCGACGGGCTCCTCGACTTGCGCAACGGGAGCTGGTGCCGCAGCTGGTGCAGCGGGCGCAGCAGCCTTGTCCTCGCCAAAGTTGGGCTCGTCAAACATAGGACCGCTTGTAGCGCTCATGCCGGCAGCGGGCTGGCTGGTAGGCACAGCCGGCATTTCCACGGGGGCAGCAGGTGCAGGTGTATCGGTGACCTTGGCCTCAGGGTCCTTGGGGGCCTCGGTGGCAGCGGGCTGAGATTCGGCAGCAGTCGGGGGAGCGGGCGCGACGGCACCAACGGGTTCGGGGGCTGGAAGATGATGCGTTAGTCTGGGTGTCTTGAGCGATGAAGAGATATAAGAAATACTAGTCAAGACAAATGTCGTATCGCGCAGAAGTCGTAACGGGCTGCTGGAAGTGCGCTGATGCTAACACATAGCCATCCATCTGGTGCAAGAGTCCCACACCTAGATGGGGCCGTTCCACTGGTTGTCTAGGTCGACCTTCTGTCGCCGCCTAGAGCCATCGCAGGCTTCGTTCCCGCGGTACGGTAGTGGACTGGAGTGTGAACGAGATGAAAACCTACTGGACGTGGCGTTCTTGACCTCAGTCAGGGCCGCAGCTTCATCCTTCTTCAACTCGCTCTGAGCTGGATCTGAAGCTGGAGCTGCAGCGGGCTCGGCAGGCGCTGGCACTGGCGCAGC